ATGGAAACCGAGCTCTTTCCGGCAGAGGAATATTCTTATGCAGGGTGGAAGGCTGGAAATAGGTCAGTATTGAGACCCTGTTGGAGAATTTAAGGCGAGGTGGAGTCTCCTGCACTAAAAAGCCTTCCAGTATTCTAAATGAGCCCCAACTAGGCCAGGGTAGCCTATAGTTTGTGTGCGAGTTGATGACTGGCCCATTCTAGCCAACTCATCCAGGACTGGCCATTGCATTGATATATCACTGGCTGTTTAATTGGCTATGACAGTGTGGTTTTTATTAGCCGTGCTGCTCCTGGAAAAGGCAGCTCTCCCCAGTGTCCTCCTGTCTCTGTGAGTCATGCCTGCATACAGAACTTCAATAACAGAGCTCAGACAAGCCCGCTTGTTGCTCCTGCACTCAGAGACAAAGGCATACGCTCGCAACTGAAAACCTGGGAGAAATTATAAAATGGTTTTATGGCATGCACACAAAGACATTAAAGTTATACTCTGGGTAATGTATTTTAACACGCTATAAAAGAAACTTTTTCAGTGACATACCACCATTGGTGAATGCTTAGGTCTGATTCATGAACAAATTATTCGTATTCTTTTAGATGTGATTCTACATTTCTATAATCGTCTATTAAACTTTTATGTTTTTGAACTTAGGGCGGCACGGTGGCTCAGTGGTTAACACTGTCGCCTTACAGCAAGAAGGTCGCTGGTTCAAGTAGAAGGGTCTTTCTGCGTGCCTTAGGGTTGTAACTTGAAGTACATTAGAGGCATAACTTCTCTTAACATAGAAGTTATGGTGCCATGCTAAAAATATGTTGTTGAGTAAATGGTGCTGTATATCAGTTATTAACCTCTACACCTACCCCAAACCCATCCATAACAGTTATTAACAACTAAACCTTCCCTAAACCTAAACCTAAACCCAACCAACATAGTTATTAATGTCTACACCTACCCCAACCCTTGACCCTACCGTCAGAGTTATTAACGTCTACACCTTCCCTTAACCTACACTATAAAAAATGGCAGTGATTTCAACGGTAAAAAACTGTAAAAATGCTACAGGACAAATCTGTAACCTGGTTAACAGTATGTTTCCTTAATATATACGGCGAATACCCGTAAACTGACTTTCCCAGAATTCCCTGCATGATACATAACTGTTTATGCATTTGTTTGACATTAATATGGATCTTTTTAGTTGTTTCCCCATCAGTTATGTACATTAAAGATTTATGTTACATCTAATGTTGATAAACAATGTTTATTTCATGACTTTAATTCTATGCATGTTACCATACTGGTGTTTAGTAGCTGTGTGAATGACACTGAGCACCTTCTATATGCTGATACTCTTTTCTGCTTATGGGAAAAGTTGATTGTGATGAGCATTGGCTCATTATGTAACTTCCTCATCACCACCTGCATGTGGGTGTGCGAACGTGTCTAACTTTGTAACAAAAGATGTGTAGATGTTGATCATTCAAAATACAGACATATTACCTCTATAAATTAATAATTTACGGTAATTTAACGTAAAAATAAAAAATTAATTTTTGTACCCTGTTTTTAACGGTAAAGTACTGGCAACCACAGCTGCCGTTTTTTTTTTACCGTAAATTTTATGGATTTATTTTTTACAGTGTAAACCCAACCATCATAGTTATTAATGTCTACCCCTACCCAAACCCGTAACTTAACCATCAGAGTTATTAACGTCTATACCTTCTCTTAACCTAAACCCAACCATCATAGTTAATAATGTCTACACCTACCCCAACCCTTAATTCAACCATCATAGTTATAAATGTCTACAACTACCCCAACCCATAACCCAACCATCAGAGTTATTGACGTCTACACCTAAACTAAACCTAAACCCAACCATCAGAATTAATAATGTACAGCCGCACGTTGCAGAGGCTTTCATACTTGACACGCTCGCCATTGTACTGTGATTTGCAACCACAGTGGGGGCGACACCGAGTAGGTCATGACAAAACAGATGAGGAAGTCAGCGAGTTGAGCTGCATTAGATGCTAAATGGATGAATATAATAATTTATCAAATGACTTGGTTGAGGATAAATTTGGAGAAATCTCATGAAAACATTTGATGAAAATGTTCTTTGGTAAGTATTTCCACCATCTTGCCAACAACATCTCGTTGGTTTAACATCAAGTTATGCTTTTAACTTACTACAAGCTACGCCTTTTCATCTTAAGCTCCCGTCTTGCAGTCTGCAGAAAGACACTTGGGTTCAAGTTCTGACTGGGCCAGTTAGCATTTCTGTGTGGATTTTGTTTCCTCCAGGTGCCATAGGTTAATTGGGTTAACCAAAAATTGGCCATAATGTATGAGTGCTTGTGTGAATGCAAGAGTGTGTGGGTGTTTCCCAGCTAGAAGCTATCTGCTGCTAAAATAAGGGGCTAAGCAGAAGGAAAATGAATGAATTAATGAATTAAAAGGTTTTTTTTACTACTAATTTACAAAAAAATACTGACTCATGGTCAGGCATGTGCAGAAGGGGGAGCTTTGTGTGCTTAAGCACCTGCCCTTTTTCACTTGAAGAAAAAGTGCCCCATCAAAATAAAAAAAAATAAAAAAATCCAGTTTATACTCTAAAAACTAATCATGGCATTTCATTTGTTCATGAATCTACACTGATTTAATTGCATGCATGTTTTTAAATTACTTCAAATAACATTTTGATTGCATAACCAAAATCTAGACAAATCTACCTGCCTTTAAAACCAAGTTCAAGTGGGCTAGAGACTAATGTGCCATGCCTGCCAGATGTGAAAGACTGGTTGTCTTTCTAGATTTTAATAAGAGTAAGACTGAAATAATTTTGTTCGGCCTGTCAATCTTTTCTAGAGCAGCAATAGTTAATCTTGAAAATGTATGTTTTTCTATGAAGCCCTGGGTAAAAAAAAAATCTGGGTTTTGTTCTGGATGATGGCTTATGCTTTGACAAACAGATAAATGCAGTGGATAATTCCTGCTTCAACAGTCAAATCTATTTTATGTAGAAAAAAAATGAAAAAAAGAATCCATGCTTTTATTACCACTAGATTGGACTATTGTAACTCATATATACTTTGGGATTAGTCAGAAAACCTTATCCGTTTAAAAGTAAGGATTTTAACAGGTACCAGGAAACATTACCACATTTCTCCAGTTTTACACTCTTTGCACTGGTTGGCTGTGCACTATCGTGTCACTTAAAATTATTTTCTTGGTTTTTAAATCTCTAAATGGCCTGGCACCTTGCTATCTGTCAGTCATCTAACCAAAGATTGTTATGCATCACTAAGTCGAGGCTGAAATGTAGGGGTGACCATGCCTTCGCAGTAGCTGGTCCTAGGTTGTGGAATGCTCTGCCCTCCTGTATTATATCTGTTTAATTTCTGTCTGTTTTTAAATCTATGTTGAAAATGTACCTCTTATGAATGAACCGCCAACTTATCCAGCGCATGTTTTACGCAGCGGATGTCTTTCCAGCTGCAACCCATCACTGGGAAACACCCATACACTCTCATTCACACACATACACTACGGACATTTAGCTTACCCAATTCATCTGTACCGCGTGTCTTTGGACTGTGGAGGAAACCGAAGCACCTGGAGGAAACCCACACGAATGCAGGGAGAACATGCAAACTCCACACAGAAACGCCAACTGACTCAGCTGAAGCTCGAACCAGCAACTTTCTTGCTGTAAGGTGACAGCACTACCTACTGCGCCACCGCGTGGCCCTCTTTGACTTAGTATTTTATCAATGAAATTTGTTCGTTTTAGGTATAGTTTTATATTTTTTCTTTGTTGTGATGTGTGTTGTGCAGCACAGTGGTCAACCTCTGGTTGTGTCTAATAGTGTTATATAAATAAAATTGACATTGACATTGACATAACATTCTACACACCCTGCACTGTGAAAAAAAAAATGCTGGGTTCTCCACACACAAACTTGATTAAGTTACCTTAATTGTTTTTTTCAAATTTAAGTGGATTAAAAATACAACAATGTTGTCAGCAAAAAACAAAAAAAAAACAAACAAAAAAAAACAACCCTATCCATCGCATCCAATATCTTACTTTTCATGAGGACCATGCATGAAATGTTCCAGAATGAAAGTGAAAGTGCCAAACTGCAGTTCGACAAATTAATAATTTGGCAAATAATTTGATTACTGATGTCCATGCAAGCACAGTCACTGTCTGTCTCCCCTGCGTCTGTGTGTTTGTTTTGCCTCTGTGAAATCAGAGCATGCCCAAACGGAAACTCCTATTTTTATGCAAAATCTTCCCTCTTTCCCTTCTTCAACACTCCCACCTAAACAGAGCTAGACACACCCACTTTCCTGACTTTTTCCAAACTAGAGGTGTAAAAGCACCCTGTTAAGACATGGGGGTTTCGTGGCCCTTTAAAAATTATGTTACTTTAACTAAACAAGCAGCAAAAGTGTGTTTGCTCATTTAAAGCTCGCAGTTTGATTACGTTTACTATGATAATAAATATTGTTGGTGGAGGTTATACATTCAGTATCAGGGGAGTGTTAATGCAGGAAACACTGACTTAAGAGGTAAACAAACAATTAAAAAAAAATTTAAAAAATAAAGAGGATAAAACTGAGATCTAAGATGCAGTAGGTGAAACAGAAGAAATGACAAAGACTAAGTGTAAGAACAGTCTCTGCCTTGGGGGTTTTGTGGCAGAAGCTGTTGTTTAAAACTACAGATTGGCTCATAAATCAGAGGAGAGAAGGAGCAGACAGAGGACTTCTAAAAGGGGCAGGAAGTCACCTACCAGAACTGACTAGCATGGACACCACCATTACCCAAAAATGCTTTATGCATGCAATTTTTATAGCATTAATGCATCTCATCCCTCAGAGAGTCACAGATTGGAGTTTAATCCACTGGGGCAGGACTGTGAGTGAGCATTAAATAATTAGCGTGAAGTTCATTGACCTGTAGCGAATTAATGTTGTTAACGAACCTTCTCACTGACTCCCTCTCTGAACTGTCTACTTCCTGTAGATGTTGGTAGGCGGGGCCAGAGTCTCTGGATCCACCAATGGCATTCAGGCATCCTCTGGTTATGGGCGGGGTTCTGCGCGAGGCAGGCCGAAGAGCAGAGCGACACCTCTGATCAGGACTATGAGAGAGGGAGCTACTCCTGTGAAACAACATAAAAAATAAAATAAAGATTTTTTTTTTAATATTTAATTTTTTGTTTACTTTTAAGGTAATTTAATACAAATTTTACTAATGCATGTTTACCGTTGTTGATTGTTAATTGCACAACTGCCTAGGCCAGTATAACATATTAAAATTTAGATAATAATAATAATAATAATAATAATAATAATTTATTTAAATAAATGCATTTGGATAAAAACATATTAAATACATTATATAACATAAAAATTGTGATATTTATTATTACTACTAATACTAACTACAACAGAGATGCCCAAAGTAGGGCCTGTGGGTCAAAGTTGGCCCATTGTAACCTTGGCCTGCCATCCCATCTAATAAGAGAGTAAAAATGATGGAGAGGGTTTGGGCGAATGCCTTTAAAAGAGGTAGTCATTTTTAATTTGACATAACCTTTTTAGTTTGTTTGTTTTATTGCTGAGCTACAAAAAAAAAATAAAAAATTAAACAAAAAAACTGAAATGAATTGTTTTAAATGTTAAATGTTGTAAATTAATCAAAGTTTTTTTTTTATTGTACTGTATATAACAGTATGTTTTGATGTAACTGTATGTAACTACAACTACAACTGATATAAGTAATGTATAATTAAATGTTTATAATAATAATAATAATAATAATAATAATAATAATAACAGCAACAACAATAATAAATAAATAAATAAATAAATAAATAAATAAATAAATAAATAAATAAATAAATAAATAAATTTTACATTTAACATTAAGTTGTTAAAATTTTCAATGAGAGCCTTGACCCTATATATAAATAAATAATGGGACAAAAATTAATGAATGTTCACAAAAAAAAAAAACAGAACAGAACAAAACAGAACATGTTAAAATAAAGACTCTAACAAAAATATTTATTGTTTTAACATTAAATTAATTAATTTTAATTTCATAATTTTGATAATAATAATAATAATAATAATAATAATAATATTAATAACCATAATAATAACATTAATAATAATAATAATAATAATAATAATAATAATAATAATAATAATAATAATAGTTTAGTTGTTAATGTTAGTATATTAACATTAACAAACATGGATAATACATTTATTATAGCATTTATTTTTCTTTGTTTACATGACTTAATTGAAATCAAGTTGTTCATTGTTAGTTGATGTTAACTCACAGTGCATTTACTAATGTTAACAAACATGAATTTGACTGTTAATAATGCATAAGTAAATGTCGAACTATGATTAATATGATTATTCAATAATACTTCTTGTTAGTTAATACAATAATTAACATTAACTACTGAAACCTTATTGTAAAGTGTGACCAACAAACACATAAATAAAATCCTTAAATTTTACATGATTCAGAACAAAGCAAAGCAGCTCCACTCAGTCCTATTTCTGCACAGATTTTCAAATCCCAGTCCATCGCATTGTTACCTCAAGTAACATCCTCACTTTCTCTCTGTCTCCATCTGCTGTGCTGACTGTTTTACAAAGCAGTGCATGTTCTAGTAAAAACATTGGGAATAAACAACACTCACAGATGCAGCCTTTCGTCTACACACCTGTAGACTACAGAAAAAAAAATAAAAAATACCGCTAGACATATTTCCTCTATCATTAAAAAATAGAGCACATTACCAATGACTCACCTTGTTCCCAATTAGATGTTTATGTGATACTGCTAAGGCAAACTACAGGGAGATGTTGTACATACGTTTCCACTGAATGGGGCCACATTAACATAGAGATTAATTGACCTATCAGACTGCTGGCAGTAAGAGGCACATATTTGGCTATTTGGTAAAAAATAGCCTGAAGAGGAATTCATACTCTGTTTTAGATGAGTCTCCAGCAGAGCGATAATTCACTGCATATTTAAATCCTTCCTTACCCTCAGTCAAGAGCAATCAGTTCAATTGTGATAATCGTTTGAAGGCATGGACAGCAAAGCATAGACTGTTTGCAAACAAATTACAAAGTCTTCACCACTATATAACCTCATATGTGCTGCTGCTGCTGCTGCTGCTACAAACAAAAACAGAGAGTGGAATCAGGGCTTAACGTTTCGATTGAAGAAAAAGCATGAGGATTAAAGAAGGCTGAAAGGATTTGTGTCTCTGCCAGCAAAAGACCACCCTTCACAAAACCACAGCTCTCCTGAGCCACTATTTAAAACAATAGATCGCTCATATCACAATGCATTTGAGTAAATGAGTGAATTTAGAAAAACCTGGTAATCTATTAAATGACATGACCTATGAAATGACAAATGACCTCCATTTTAATTGATTTCATCTAAGCTGTGGGGAAAAAAATTGTTTCTGACCAATTATTCTTCAGCAACCATGCTGGCTATTTTATCTGTTTATTTTTTCAGGGATCACAGTTTTGTAATTATTAAAATTAACCCTCATAGCACATTCAAAGTTATTAATTTTGTTAACAGCCACAAATAAAACCATATTACATCTGATTTACAACTGTTTGTTGAAGCGTTTAAAAAAAAAACTGGTTTCAGTGTTCATTTATTTTTAATTTAATTTCTATTTTAATGTTTTTCTAGCTGGTTTCCCTCATCCTGCAGTCTCAAGCCTGTACAGATGATCCAGAACTCTGGAGCTTATCTGGTCTTCAATGAGTCCTTGTAACACCTCTCTTTATCTCATTGCATTGGTTACTGGTTGAAGCTCGAACCAAGTTTAGATCACTGATGCTTGCTTACAGAACAGCTACTGGCACTGCACTCTCTTTCCTCCACCTGCTGTTGAAGGTCTACACCCCTCCGGGAGCCTCCAGTTGGGGTGTGAGCACTGCCTTGTTGTGCCATTACAGAGAGGCTATAAGTCAATTTCGAAAACCTTTTCATTCAATGTTCCACACTGGTGGATTTCTACTCGGATTGCTGATATCTTGGTATCATTCAAACAACAACTAAAAACCCATGTCCAATTCACCTGAAACCTAGTGAATAATACCAAAACTACCTGTAGGAGCACTTTCTCGCTTTCCTACTCTAGCACTAAATTCTTTGAGCACAAAAGAGTTATTTTCAATATCTAGTTCTTCTCGTATGTATTGCCTTTTCTTGTTGAATTACTGAACACCTCCTCAATTGTAAGTCGCTTTGGACAAAAGCATCTGCTAAATGCATTTTTGTCACATATTTATGTGCACTATATAGTTAAAAGTTTTGAGGCATCTCTATAAATGCACATGAACTTTAATGACATCCCAATCCTAAAGGGATAATTCATGCAACAATTTTAATTGTGCTAATATTGATCATTAATCGTGATTTATTTGTTTATTTGTCCAAATCCAAATGCACTTCTTCAGTTTTGCAGAAAACAAAATGAAGACATTTCAGTAAAGAAACAAATCTATTCACTGCCATACTTAAACATAAAGATTTATAATGTAGGAGTAAATAGATTTTAAGATCAGTTTGATTTTTATTTTGGGTGAACCATCCCTTTAATTTGTGGGGTTTATAGCACCCTTTTAAGCAATAATAGCTTTAACTCTTTAGGGAGGGCTTTCTACAAGGTTTAAGATGATTTGGGGGAATTTTTCACCATTCTTCCAAGAAGTCCATTAGTGAGGTCAGACACTGCTGTGGCCTATCACTTTGCACTTTGGTCAAATTAGACCTGAATATGTAATGAAATTACATATCATCAGCTTCTATTGGCGCATTTAAGTTATATCCACATGAAAACCACCATAAAAGTCATTATTAAAAGTTGGAAACTGTCATTTTTCTTTAAGTGATAAATTTTTTTTTTTAATCGAAAGTAGATACATCTACATCTTGAGCTGACAAAAGTGACTTGAATAAACCTGACCCCATTGTTACAATATTTCAGCTTATTATGTCACAGCATATGCCATTACCTGAACGTAACATATGTGCACCCTCAGAAATAAAGGTATGCAGGTGTCACTGATGTGGTACCTTTTCAAAAGGTACATATTTTGTACTTAACAGGTAAATATTGGTACCTTAAAAATATATATTAGTGCCTAAAAAATCTAAGAAGAACACATTTGTTCTTATTAGGTACTAATGTGTACCCCTGAGGTATTAATATGGACCTTTTAATATGGAAATTTGTACCTTTTAAAAAGGTACCACCCCAGCCACAGCTCACATACCTTTATTTCTGAGAGTGTACTGACATTGAAAGAATAAATTGATATAATGCAACTAATTTGTTAAATAAATGCATTCATCTTGTACTTGAAAAAGTAAAAAAAAAAATTTAAGCTTTAATTAATTTATGTATTTGCATATACTGTATAATAACACGGTTTATCCTGCCCGATATTCAACCCTAAAACCTAACCAAATGAATAAATTGAATAATCCTAATTGTATCCCAATTCTTTACTATACACCCAAGCATTAAACCTTCCTATACAAGTAGACATGTCTCCATATAACATATAACCTAATATATTTTTATATATTTAATAACTTTAACCTAAATCAACTTGCCCTTAAATCAAACCACCATACTTAATCTCTCTCTAACCAATATTGTGACCTAAACATAACACACAATCACAAACCACAAAAACAAACCTACAGTACTATAAATATACTTAAATACTTAAAATGCTATGACCAGGTCACTTATAATTGTGACACAATGTATCCAGAGAGAATAATATTTTCACACAATATTTTTTTTTCCAAATCATGAAATAAATTGTGAGAAGTGCATTCTGTGGATTAAACAATTTGTTATCCTTCATTTCCTACAAAACTAAGAACATCTGCTCAAGGTAAATGAACTTAACTTCTTTTCTTCTATGTATTGATTCATGCCGAGGTAGTGTCAACAGTTACTAAAGAGCATTGGTAAATGTGTTCTCTTCTTTCACACTCCATTAAAAATGCAGTATGCTTTAGACTTTGTTCTGACTTGTAAATGTCCGCAGTTACTGTAATATGTTATTTAATAGTTACTTTAACAAAAACAACAATATGAAAATACTTTGCAATGCATATTAATTCTTATTATCAATGCTTATTACCTTGGCTTGACATGAACTTTTCTGATCACAGCCACTCTGGCTAGTAGATTTCCAACATTGCTAGCCATTCCCTATTATCACTAGCCACAATTTTGTTGTTAGGAAAATATATTTTACATGCATACATTTGACTTTGACATGCTAACATTACTTAATTTAAATTGTGTGTTATGTCAACATGCCTCCTCATTTATTTAACTTTTTTGTGTGTTGTGTATGGGTGTGCTATACAAGCATGAGCAAATGGGTTGAGGTTTCATAGTGTTGCATTGCTCTTAGCTTTATTTCACATGATTTTTCAGGGCTTAAGATTAAGGGTTTACCTATAATTGATCTCTGACCACACCAAAAATAAAATAAAAATAATTATTTCTTGGCCACAAATTTTAAATAATGTGTCAAACAAGCAAAATAAAGCTGTATACGGTTACTTTTTATTCAACAAAACCTTTATTTAAAAAAAATACGAAACAATTTACATTTTAAAAAATAGGCCTTTATCATCAGTTACAAAAAAATGAGGAGTTAATCTCCTATTGAAGCAATGTTATTATGACAACAATGATTATTAAACCATATTAACAAAAATAACTGTAAGAAAAAGAAAGCATGTGATAATGAAAGGATGATCAAGTGCACACAGTTAACGTTAGGCTCATTAGTAATCTGTTAAAAAAATGTTTAAAGCGGAAGCAACTGCGGCTGCTTACTAAAAGACATTTAAAAAATAAATAAATCTGAAGCTGTTGATAGCAGCAGGACTGTGGGTCCGCGAGCATAGCTTTTTGTCCAGTCTATTTCGAAGAGAACTTATCGTGCCAGTTGCATTTCCAGGCGTGGTTCTTCCGTGCAAGAAAACGAGAGCGCACACTTTAAACAGTCACATGCAACACATTACCTGTGTGCACAAATGATCATCATCTCATTTGGTATTCACCTGCCTTCTTTTGCTTGTGCGAACACAATTATTTTTGTCAGTCGTTCTGCTTTTTTGATTCTAAGATGACATTTGCACACATATTGACCCATCCTTATTGTCGAACCCTGCTTTTAAGAAAACTACATTTTAAAAAGTATTTGCAACCGGATAGAGTGGCTAGTGGGGGCTGTCTTAACTGCCACAACTGAAATCCACCAACATTTGGTGGGCTGGCAGGTGTTAATGTCAAGCCCTGCTTATTACATATTTTTTTGTATTATATAATTTTTATTTTATGTTTGTTATTATTATTTCAAGCCATTGTAAGAAACATTGGAAGTGGGAAAAATCTAATAATCAACTTTTTTAATATTATGATATATGATTTTTTTAAATTGTATTATTAATTTACTGTAGTTATTGGTCAAATAACTGCAATCTTTGGGAGTAAAAAAAAGAGCTGTCCCAAAACTTGTACAATAGTATATGTAATCTCTCAAAAAAACAAAACATGAAACTACCATATTTTATTAGACCAGAGAACTGACTATAAAAAGCTGTTTGCAGGTAAATTTCATATCACTGATTTACATATAGTCACAATTGAATTTGTATATCTCAATTTAATGCTTTTCTTGCTATAACAGAAATTTATGTAAATGTATGTCATGCAAATTTCAATTGATATCATATTTCTAATGATTCAGTAAAATTTCTCCCTTCAGTGCTTTTTGCAGACTTTGTATTGTATTACTACAATAAACATTGTCAAAATGTCATGCAATTCTATTAAATAAGACTAAAATTGTGAGACACATAAAAAAGACTTTTCATGAATAGACAGTCTTCGGTGTAATGATTGTCACAGCAATTTTTAAATAATATAATTGTCATACCTAAGCTGTTTTCCTGTCATTGAGCCCTGTGGATTGGTAGAGTCAGCATTACTTGGAGCAAAACTGAGCTCTCGAATGGCACCTCCATGTGGTGGCGTGGACCTTGTGGGTTTATAAAACTGTAAAAGACATGAAAAAGGAAGACAGATGTTAAATATCATACTGTTATCTGTGGGTCCTGTCAAAATTTGATTAAAGCATTTTAATTCCCAATTGGACAACGTATCCAGCATTGCAAGCATAGCTTGAGCTTCTGTACTCTACACTTCTACACTTTGGATTTGACAAAGATGTGTCCAGGTTCCACTGATGTTCAGATAATCCTACAGACCTCGGTGGAACCAGCAGACAAATCCAATTTAAATTTCACACCTTGAAAGACTTCCCCATAAAAACCCATTTCTGCTTCGGGCAGAATGCACACAATGATCTAAATGTCAGAGAGATACTTAATCTCCTCCACGAGTCCACCTTCACTCCACAGAGTCGAGTGGAATAGAAGCGAGCGATGAGAACCGATGGCTGATGGGAGATCAGAGAAGGGCACTAGAGTCACTCTAATTGGATAATATAGCACTTTCAGAACTATGTAAATCTAAGCAATGTCCCAATGGCTTCCTTTTGTGTGGGAACAATACGTGCAGGGCAGAAAGTACCACATTTCTCCTTTTTCTTTCCTCCATTTACATTTATGCTTTTGGCTGATGCTTTTCCTACAGTAGAGTGACTTACACTGAACTCAAAGTACACATTTTATCAGTTTATGGATTCCTTGGGGATCCAATCCTGTGGTTAGAGCCTGTTTGAGCGACAGATGTGTAGAAACTTCATTGCAAATTACTTACAAATGTGCAGCTTATGCGCATAATTTAGTAACTCATTATTTTCTTTTTTGCAAATGATGACTGGGAGCGTCTTTACATTATGATTTGAATGCATCATGTAACATCCCAGCCTACAGGACTTTATTCATCATGATAAAACAGGAGCTTGGAGGAAATGCCTTGTGTTTCTGAAATATTGACACTGCCTTGACAAAGAAATGACATATGCAGTCAGCTTGACATTTTTTAAAACCCTGAAGTTAGCTGACAATACATATGTGAAATGTAGCCCACACACAACGCCAAAGGCAATTTTATCATGTTTGAAGTGAGTTGTGCGTTTAAAAACACTTACATAAACCTTATTCTTTTATTTCTCAACAAAAGTTAGTTGGTTATAACTTTAGATTTTGGCAAACGGTGGAGATCAAAATGAGAGAACAATTGATAAACAACAACAAAAAAGTCATTTTCATCTCTCTAAAAAAGAATTTTAAAGCTGTCTTTATACTACATTAGCAGATCCGTGTTAAAAAAATAACCAAGGGACTTCAACAAAAACCCTTTATTTCATGGATATTGTTGTGATCTAAATGATAGAAAAACAATGTTTGTAAAGGGAATAGAAATTGCAGCTAAAACTTTAGAAGGTTCCAGTCACCAAAATTGAGTAGGAAATCTACTTGCCGCTGCTTTGAATGACAATTGCTGGCTAATTATGTGATGAATGCAGGGAAGGAACCACATGAATCTGAGCATTCATAACATCATAAACATTTGCATTCAATCCTATAATAGGCCGATAAACATCCACTAAACCAGGGCTTCTCGAAATCCGGATCTGTTCTGTTCTGGATCTGGAACACAAGGGTATTCAATCTGGACTTGGCTACATTTTGTTTTGCAAGGCCATGCATAAAGAATTCAAATAGTGGATTTTTTTTCATTAATAAATGCACAAATCTCATAAATTAACGATTAATTTTTATATTTCAGTAAAAAAAAGGGCCGAAATAAAATCAAAGGCAAAATATTAAAAGTTTTCCTGCAAGCCATTGATATTTACAAGGTTTCACGTGATCGAGCGAACTAATCAAAGTTGAATGGACAGATAAGTATGCGTTTATTTTGCCACAAGCCAACACAAAGTCATTCTGCTTGATTTGTAGTGAGATATTTGGAGTTGTAAAGAGTGGAAATGTGAAACAGTAGTATCCACAAAATACAGACCGCAAAACTACAATACCTAAAGTTTTCATTACACATCTTTTGTATTTTTCACCTTTTTTTGGCGAGGGGTCTGGATGCAGACCTAGTGCAGTTGCAAGCTGAGCTGCATGCAATGCTTTTTATCGCCCACACCTAACCTTACCCCTCAAAGTGACATTATTAGCTCCATTTAGTGCATTTATTCTTAGCTTTTGTACTTCAAATGAAATAAAAAAGAACTAAAATTACACCATTTTGAAAAAAAATCTGGCCAAAACAAAGTTCTTTTTGAGTTCGTTTTGACAATTAGAAACAGCTCACTAAGGCAAACTTTTTTGTAAGTTCGGTTTGGTCCTTAACACCTTTGATCTAAAGTATTATTGGTCAGTGATGACTAAGCATTTGTGGGTGTGTTCTGGAACTCCACCTTCTTTGACTTTGATTCTTTGATTGTTGTTCATTCAGCACAAGTTTGCAACATGACTACACTGGAGGGTCAAGTAGCAGAGCTGTTACAGGTTTATTCGCACGTATATGTACGATCGCTCAGGGAAAGACTTGGAGGGCCTGCATCACACCACATCTAATAAAGTTCTAAACAATGTTCAATTTAGCGTCTGTCCGCGACAAATATAAAGCAATGTGATGTGCCGTTGTAGTGCTTCTAGCATAGAAGGCTGTTTGCTGGTGTGAAACTGTTCTTCTCTTTCAGCTGTTGTTGTTATGTTTAGCAGTACAATCAAGCAGTGTGACACATTTAAAACCCCGCCTACATCAGCGTGAGGGTGTCAGAAAGTTTGGAAACAGTATACCTCCACTCTGTCTTTTCGAACTTTTTTTGTCCACAAATGAAGAATGAAAAATTCTGACAGTATGATAATGTTACATAAAAATATCACAGTTTTACAGTATTGTGATTACTGCTCTAAAATATATTCTGTTTAAATGTCTGGGTAAAAATAAGAACTTTTTTTCTACTTTGAACACAGTATATTTTATTTTATGAAACATTTAAAATATTTTGGAGCAGTAAACATGTCAGGCTAAATAATTAAAATGAATCATTGACTTCTGCTGTCATCATTAGTTTCAAAAACACTGATTTCATTACAGTTTAAAACTGCATTTTTGGATATCTTTTCTGCTGGAGATACTGCTGTCTAAAAAACCTTAAACAAAGCATAAAAAAATCTAACATATACCATAGGAATGGTATAGCAGAACATTTTGCCATTTTTAAAACCTTAACTTTTCCAAACAGCGGTTTACCTTAAAAACGGTTACCGTCCCATGCCTAATTTAAAGTATACCAGAACCGTCAGTCCAGCGTTTTAATTCTGCTGATAAATATTTTGGTCCCTGGAGGCATTTAGTCTAATTATTTTGTTTTTTGTGGATGAACAGCGTTTTTTGAGGGACTCGAATGAGTTAGTCACAATATAAAGTTGTAATTTTCTAGAAATCACAGATTTGGAAGGACCAATTTTTGAAAGTATTATCTATTTGGTCTTCATCTGGACACTCTGCTGTTAGAGAGTTTCAGTCACTTTAGACTGGCTTGCAATCTTGCAAAGTCTGTAAAATCTTTAAAGTTAGGCTGTCAGTTGAATACTATTTGCCAGATAGTTAATGGGATTCCCACTGATTAATCTGTATACTGCGCTTCAGTCTTCACAATGTGCAACTTGTGAAATATGCTTAAAATCTGCTATTTTATTACCGCTAGGTTAATTTACATATGACTTAGCAGTGACTTCAAAATTTAGAAGATTATAGTTTGTTCTTTAACTTTGATTTCCACAGTATTGCTGACATTTAAGCAGTTACATTGTTATTGTTTTATGTTAATTTATAGCCTTCTTTCTTTTCACATTAAACTAATTTGCATATGCATATGACTTGTGAAAATACATGTGCTATTTAAAATACCTCACTAGAGAGGAAAAGTATGCAAAAGCATTAAAGAGAGAGCAATAGAAAGAGAAGAAATAAAACTGTAGCAGAAAGTGATGACTAATGCAGAGGACAAAAGTATGGAATGCGGTGAGCTAAAATGGTTATGATATATTCTGTAGCCATTGTAAGGTTTGAAAAACCTTTGTTTGTCTTTTCCAAACACAAACATATTCTGGCACAAGTAAGATACGTATATACTGATTTACAAAAGCAATGACTCACTACAGCAAATCTTAAAAATCATTTCCTCAAACAGGTTTGAAAAAGCTGCCTGATTCATTCAAGGATAGAAATGGTAATTTCTGAATTTAAGGTCAACCCTTTATCACATTGGTAACTAGTATTAGAAAAACTAGAAGCCTATCATTACTGAAGCAGTCAATTTCTTTTTCCTTAGAGATGCACTTTGACCACACTCAAAAGAACCTGTTCAGGCAATCAAAAATGACTTCATCTGAAGTCTTTTGAAAGCTTGTCTTTGAAGATGCATTTTCCTTCTTTACCAAAGCACAGCCACCTACATTTCCAGAAAAAAAGAGCTTTTAAACAAACATGCATGAATGCGCTACTTAGCTGTTAAATTAACCAGGGGAATTCAGCCAAAAATGGCTTAATATTTAGAAAAAACAAAAAACAACTCTAACACATTATAATTGTATATACTGCCATTATATACATGAATATTTAAAAACAACTTTGCATAAGCAGTATATCTACAGAGGCCAAAAATGGTTTCATCAAAAACTTATTGTCACATTACAATTTGTATTTTTTATTGCTTGGATTGACGTATTTCTTTACCAAAATCAGCCCCAATTTTAAGGATTTTTACCCTTAAAATGACAATTTGTTTAAATTATGTAATTGTAGTTTTTAAACAGTAATACAACTAAAATAACTAGCTAAATAAATAAAAAATCAAGAAAAAACAATGAACAAAGAAACAAACTCTTATGTACATTTAATCCTTTAAATTAAATACTTCAACATAATATTACTTGGACTGATTCGTCATTTAGTGTCTAAAACAAAGATGCCCAAAGTAGGCCTGCCAAAGGCAGGAGAAGCTCAAATTCAGTTTGAAACTCCATTGTGCTATAAATGGGATTGTTTATGTTTTTACTGTAATA